CCGCTACATCTGCAATAGCGACCACCTTCCCTCGTGACCCTAGGGGTCCCTGAAACGGACCCTCCACTGCTGCAAAATACAATTTGCTGAAAAGACTCCCCGTTCGAGACAATACCGTATATGACACAAGATAACGCACCCCCTGGACCGATTTTCAAAGCTCGATCACTCCATGACGAACAGGATGCATAGACGAAAGGAGCGTTTCAGAGAGCTCTCGACCAGACGGCTTCAACTCCGACTTTTTCGGCCCTGCGACTGTTGCTGCTGTTGAAAAATCGAGCTTTGAAAATTGGTCCAGGGGGTGTGTTATCTTGTGTCATATACGGTACCCGAGACGAAGGGCGAGTGTTGAAGGCTGTGCAATGTTTGTTCGGATTTTCGTTTGTTGGTATGTTGTCTGTTCGTGTTGCTTTGTTTGGGTCCATGCATCGACGACGGGCTATTCGGGCGACCAATGAAAATACCCCAGTCTCCGTGCGTCTGTGTAAATGCGGGAATCGCTACTACAGGCCCTGATCTGGGGCCCGAGCCCGTGGGGTCACGGCTGTTTGTGTGTGTGTGTGCATTGGTGATGTTGACGCTGGCACGTGGACATTTTGTCACGTTACGACGATGCCGCGGTTTTTCACGGTATGTGCTTGTCGTTAACGCGTTGAGCGATGAACGGCAGTGATTGTTTTTTCCGCCCGTGTTGCTGTGTAACTGTAAATTCCAGCGACCCCCCCCACCTGGCGTTGGTTGGCCGAATAAACGCTACCAATATTCGGCGTACAAGCATGCGTATGCATCTCACGACCCCTCTCTATTTCACGGGCCTTTTTGGCATTGTCTGGCCGTGTTCAGGGATCGAACGCTGTTCTTGTGCTCGAGTACATGCCCTCGGACCTCGCAAAGGTAATTCAGAAAATGTTGTCGCTGCAATAGCCACTTTCATGGCGGTGTCGTTGTCCCGTTGCAGTAATCATTCAATGCAGCTGATGCTGCTGTTGCCGCTGTGATTGCCGCTTCCATGGTACTTCAGCAAATGTTCTAACTATTGTTGTCGTCGTTGTCGTCGCCGTCGTTAACGACGTATATGATGTTGTGTGCGTCGTTCTCATGCTGTTGTCGTTGCCGTCGTTGTTGCGGTGATCATTTTTGATGAGGTTGGTGCTGTTGTTTCATGCTGTTCCTGTTGTCGTTGTTGCGGGGATCATTCGACCTATATGATGTTGTGTGCGTCGTTTTCATGCTGTTGTCGTTGCCGTCGTTGTTGCGGTGATCATTTTTGATGAGGTTGGTGCTGTTGTTTCATGCTGTTCCTGTTGTCGTTGTCGTCGCCGTCGTTAACGACGTATATGATGTTGTGTGCGTCGTTTTCATGCTGTTGTCGTTGCCGTCGTTGTTGCGGTGATCATTTTTGATGAGGTTGGTGCTGTTGTTTCATGCTGTTCCTGTTGTCGTTGTTGCGGGGATCATTCGACCTATATGATGTTGTGTGCGTCGTTTTCATGCTGTTGTCGTTGCCGTCGTTATTGCGGTGATCATTTGATGAGGTTGGTGCTGCTGTGTCATATTGTTCCTGTTGTCGTTGTCGTGGTTTATCATCATCGTTCTCGCTCGTTTTCCTTTCTTTTGTAGTTATTTTCCGGTGGCTGATGCATGTTCTTTTTTTATTCTCCTTTTGTTTCCGATTTCTCCCAGGTGTTGGACGGCTCCCCTAATCCCCTGGAAGAGAGTCATATCAAGGCTTACACGGCAATGCTGCTGAAGGGGCTGGCTTGGATGCACGCCCACGTGAGCTTTTTGGTTGTGATGGGGTGCACGTTTCAAAGTTGGCTTGCACGTTTTTCGCCCCGTATGTAGGTCCGCGAAGCATTCGTCACGAGTACGAGTTGTGGCAGTTGCACCAGCTTTTGGGGGACCCTTCAAAGTTCTTGATGATACGGCTTGCGGTGTTTTGGGAGAGAGAATCGGGAACGCTCGTGTACCCTCCAACGTAATACCTGAAACATGTGTCACAACTACTACCGTAGGCCGCACGAGATGCCACACCCCCTGTGGCCGAGTTTTATCGCTCGTTAAATTCCACAATGAAGAGGGTGTACGAAGATGAAATGATTCGTTCTCGGGAATGCTTCTTGGCGAGACGGTTCCAACGCCGCCCTTGGCCCCGTCTCTGTTTGTGTTGCGGAGGTAGTATCATAGTCCGGTTTTGAACACCGTCCGGCGGGAGTAAAGCACTCCGACCAGAGTACTCACTCGCGGAACGGTGAAGGGCAAAACTTCCGGGAAACGGGAGTCGGCGTAGCGCTACCGCACATGCGACACAAGATGCAACGCCCCCTGGATCGCTCGCCCGTGGAAGCTCAATTACTCCACGGCAGAGAGGGTAGCGGCGCCGAAATGGCGGGAGGCGTTGAAAAACCGTCTCGTCGAGAGCATTCCGAAAACGTTTTTCTCCGTGCATTCTTCCTCGCCGTGGAATAGCCTCACGTCAGGCACGGCGGTGTTCTGATTGGAGAGGCTAACACGCACACTTACCATTTGGACCGCATCGCCAAAACCTAGCCTTATACCAACTAGGGGGTGTGATATCTTACGCCACGCACGTATCCACTAGAGTACGGCGGTGCTCTGCCAAAAGATGCCAACAAGCGATCGCCACTTGGACAGCATCGCCCAAAACCTAGCCCTATAACTAAACCAAACGCTGGAATGCACCTTTCGGCACGAAACCGTCAGGTCTTGCTCCCAAGTGAAGTAACACGTCCGACTTGATGCTTAGGGGCGTTTTAAACAGAGCACTTTTTTTTCAAATATTTGGAATGTTTCCAAATTTGGAAACTTTGCGCGGCGAGTTCGAAGGCAATATCTTTGGAAACTTTTCAAAATTTTGGAAGCTACCATTCCAAAGTTTTTGGGGCCCTGGTCACTCCCAAATTTCTGGAAAATTTTCCAAAGTTTTCGATGAGATCCAAATTTTGGAATTTGGAAATTTGGAAAAAACAGTCGTGATTCAAACGGCCCTCATCCATAGGGCGGCTTGACACTAGAAAATTCACGGGGTGTTGGAGCTTCACTCGAAAGAAGGGTTAATACCGTAGGTGATATTAATGGAAGGTGCCACACCCCTGGGGCCAATTTTCGGAGCTCGATTGCTCCACGATACAGAAGGCGTAAAAAAATCTTTTAAAATATGTGTTCAGAAGATCTCGCCGAGACGGTTCAAAGGCTGCCTTTTCGGCACCGTCACTGCTTTGGCTGCGGAGAAATCGGGCTGTACAGATCAACCTACGGTATTGTGGTGATGTGGACGGAAGTGTCTTGGAAGGCGTGCACCGGGCTCTGCAGCAGACGAAAAGGACTCGTTTTTGTGCCGAACCCGCAGGGGCTGCTTCATAGGGACATTAAGCCTTCCAACCTTCTGCTCAGCGCTGGCGGGGTGCTCAAGATCGCCGACTTCGGGCAGACGAGAGTGAGTAAGCGCTAGCTGCTGCTGCTGCTGCTGCTGCTGCTGCTCTTGTGATTGTTGTTGTCCTTTGCTATTTGTTTGTGGCTGTTACCTCGGAAGTCACTCACCATTGCTTAGGTGCCTTTTCGCGTCCTTCTAGCCGTCGATTGAACACTGGCCACTGCTCTTGCTGCTGCTTCTGCTGCTGTCGCTGCTGCTCTTCCTGTTGTCCTTTCCTGTGTTCCTGGTCAGTGGCATTTTTTTTTCATAGATGGCGAGAGATTCACTCCGCTGACTAGCCGACATCGATTTGCGTACTTGCTACAAAAAGCTATTTTTCTGAGGTTGTATGTCATATTCCAGCGCCTTCTGTAGCGAGTATGTCTGTGGTCGTGGCGGTCTCGTCTGAACAATTGACGGGCCTATTAAACTGCGGTTCTTAAAAATGGGCGAGCTCGAACTGCCTATCCCCCCCCCCCA